ATAATTACTTGTTTAACCTTTTCTAATGTAGCACCTGACGGTGGTTCAACAATTAATACAGTTCTATTAATATACAACAATGGAACGCCAGCAATAACGCGAAATTGTTGGCGAAGCGTTTCATTCTGCGTTGCCACACAATAATTGTGAGGGTTATCATTTCCTATGTTTTTTCGTGAAGACATAATTAACCTTCTCGTAAATATGAATGAGTATGAGCCAAGACAATTAATTTATTAATACCTATGATTGAAGCCAAACATTCAGCACTAGAAACCGGTTTTCTGTGTGGACATCGTCGTCTTTCAAATTGTTTTAAAGCCAATTCTGTCTCTAGACCTTCTTTGCCTTGCTTTTTCATTTCAGCCAGAATGCAGGACGTATACACTAACCAAATGAAAAAAAAACATTAATAAGAATTACCAATATTTTCTTTAAAAGTTGAAGACATGTTAATGCATACTTTGCTTCGTATTTCCAAGCAACACCATGCAAAGTTGTTTGCATATGTCCATTTTGTATCGAATGGCAGTTTGCATGAAATTCCCGTCCACTTTTCAAAAAGCCATAAAAATTATAGTCCAAATAGTTTATAGATGAATATTTCAATTCATAAAGTGTTAGATACCTAAAATTTGATAAGGTTCTCTAAAACCAAACGACATTGAATATAACGCCATAAGGCGTTTATATTGTTTTGTTCGTTTCGGTCGCATGTTTTTTTTTTTTAAAAAAAAAAAAAATGTAAAGTTATCGGTTATCGCTAATGATATAATTGGTCGACTTTAAATGATTATCTGCTTAATTAATGGACCAATTTTACCAAACCGTTTTCAAATTTCCTTATTTGAAAAAAGATGTTAAAATAAAGCAAATTAAGGTTAGGGTAGCTATTGGATAAGATTTATAGGTAAAATTGCTCCCCCGACATTTTTATTAGGGATGTTGTTGGCTTAGATAGCTTAGCTTAGCTCAAAAAAGCCATAGTCAAGCTATAACTAAGCCATGGTTTAAGCTATTAGCTATAATTAAAGCCAGGATCAATAGTTATTTTTTTATAACTTTAAGCAATTTTTAAACTATAGCTCAAGCCATAGCTTAAACTATTAGCTTGGCTTAACTTCAGATTGGCTTCAAACTGTGGCTAAAGCTGGCTTCAATTAAAGCCAATGACATCCCTAATTTTTATTAGTGCACCAAGAGAGGTTTAAACATTCGTTTCTTATATTTTCACAGTTTTATACTGTATCATAAAAATTTTACGATTTGATTGGCCAAATAAGGGGAATGCTTAAAGCGTTGTGCATCTATGTTTTTGACTATATTTAGTTAAAGTTAAGGTAACATCACCTTCCCGACATTTTTTATTAGTGCATCAAATAGGTTTAGGCATTAGTTTTCTTGTATTCTTAAATCGACATTTCGGTTCTAACAAAAATTTTTCTCATGCAATTTTGCTATAGTATGTCTCTTTCTAACTTTACTAATGGCAAAACCCTAACATAAATTAAATTTTTTTGTTCAAAGACTATTAATTTCGGAAAATCACGTGACAGTAAAATCGATCCTACGCCCCGGAGTTGCCTATTCCTGACCCTAATATTAATTAAAAATCGGAAAACCTGGAAGGTGCCAGACTTTAAACGTCCCATTAGCAATAAAAAACTTTTTTAAAAAAACGTACATAACTCGTAAATATATATTTATTAACTAGCTCTAGTACGTATTTACAAGATATATGACATATAAGATATTTTTTTATAGTTATTGCCCGTGAAGTGGGCAATAACTGATTTATAGTATTTCACGGTTCTTATACTTTCATACTACGTATGGGAGATACGATAGAATTATATAACCACTCGAAAATAAAAATATTGAGCAGCGTCACTATACCAAAATATTAATAAGCAAGTATACAATTAACCAATCAAATACAAACTAAATGTATAATTTTATCATGTTTTTATAAGCGGTTTCATAACTCATTTTGCAAACCGCCATTTAAACTAACTATAAGCAGTGTTTTCGATTGGACCAATTGGATATACGTATTCCAATTGAAATTGGACATTTGTCCCAATTAGTCCAATTAACAACACTAACTATAAGCATGAGAATTACTTTTTTCTAGTATTAAAAGATTGCATACGAGTGCCGCCGAGAGAAAGCCCGTAAATCTTACTAGATAAGATTTGCGGATTTTCTTCTGAAGGCACTCATAAAGGACCAGTATTACCGACCCATTTTTCACTTGCCTAATTTAGGGGTCGTCTAAAGCCGTGTCCATCACGTGACCTAAAGCCAATAGAATTGTTTATTTTGATCGACACGGATCA